GGACCGCGGTTCAATCCCCAGCACCACATGCCAGCCAGCCCCGCCCCCTGGTGGGCTGAGCTGGCCACACACACACACACACACACGCGCGCGCGCGCGCGCGCAATAAATAAATGTTAAAAAAAAAAAATTTAAAAAAAAACAACCCCTGGAGCAGCAAGAACTTTTAGGTCCTCCACAGGAGCAGACCACCGCATTTTCACCGGTTTATCCACACTAGGTCTGATAGGGCATGGCAGTGGGACCTGACCACAGTCATCAATCTTATAAATGCCACTCCAAGTCGACTGAAATGGGGTCAACGGAAGAGAGGCGCTATGATTTAGGTAGATGTTAGAAAGAAAAACTTTATGTACCAAATGTTAATAATTACCAAACGTTAAAGAGGTATAAAATCAAAATCAAAATAAATATGCAGACTTTCCTTCAATTTAAGAAAGCAGAAAATTTAATTCTATTTGAATAACAAATGCCCCCTGTACTGAAGTTCCAAAACTACAAAGCCTCTGCCCACTGCTGAAAGTCTAGCAGTAAGGTACTAATACTCTTGATTACAGAAGAGAGCTAATTAAAGCATAACATTCTAGCAATCCAAAATAATTAACACGTCATATTAGCTTACAGTGTCACCCATAAGGCAATCATACTACAGTGTACATGCACATCCATGTTTACACCAGTGCGATTCACAGTGGTGAGTCTCTGGAAACAGCCTCGATGACCACCAACAGACGAACGGATAAAGAGAATGCAGTGTGTATTTACAAAAAGAAATACTATTCAAAGACTGGAGTTATTTCACCTGCATGAAAATGGATGGAACCTGAGACCAAAATATTAAGTGAAATAATTTAGACTCATGAAGTTTAATATCCTGTGGTTTATTTTATATGAGAAATGTAAAGTAGAAGTAAGTAAATAAATAAATAAATAGATAATTAAAATAAGAGATGCAAGAAACACACAGGCCAACTATTAGATGGTTTAGGATGTCGGGGAAGAGGAGGGAGAAGAGACAAGGGACCAAAATGATAAATGCTCTACATATGTTATGATTCCCCAGTATGAATTTAACTATTATATGTTATAAGTACATAGCAGTAAAAAAAAAAAAAAAAAGAAAAAAGAAAATGAGGAGCCACAAATGTTAAAGCTAAAGAATCAATGTGGATTCACCTCATCATCATTTCACTGATGCTATTAATATTTTACCTAAGCCAAAGTGGTCTCAAGCCAAGGAATATAAGGAATTACGTACAGCCACCTTCCCAGAATTCCCTTCCATCTTCTTTCATAATACCTTAACAATTAACAGTCTGTCCAATGGTAGGGTGTTTCCAGAGCATTTTTGTTTTAATGACATTGCATTCTACATAGAAGGTGTTTCAACTCTGGCATTTCTATTTCCAGTTTAAAATCTGCTTCAGTAAAATTTAAATACATTCATATGGGGAGTGGATGGTCGTATCTTAATGAAAAATTAGGTCTTCCTGCCTACATGCTTTCTTAGCAGGCTGCCTGGAATCTACTGTGCTATTTAATCATAGGAAGTTTCACAGCAACAGTTTTATGGTTATTTTACATGGTGTTATGTTGTTCAATTAGTGAGCCCTCACTAAAGTTTTCCCTGTGACCAAAGTGTAGTCCAACAGGTCAGCCTTGACTAATGATGTCTCCTGCAAGGCTGGGCTCAGCTGCAGCCTATACAGACAGGGTGAGGTCTTCAACCTCGACTGTTGTCTGAGGTGCAAACAGATGCATAGAAGGAAGGTGTGAAGGAAAAGCATTTTGAATATTTCTCCCCAAAACACATCTCCCTTATGTCTGACAGTGTCTCTTACACGACTGTCGGGTTTTCCAAAACTCAGAGAAAAGGTAACGTGTACTGATATATTCTAATAATATGAAAGATTGTTTTAAAAATGTAAGAAACATAGCTATCTATATAGGTAAAAACATGAATAAAGGATACATGTGTTTATATATACATGTAGATATAGAAAGAGATCACTTGATCAATTCATTCTAGAAAAGGAAATCTATTTAGCTCCTCAATATGTCAATTACCTTGATCTGATCAATATACATTGTATACATACATTAAAATGCTATAATATATCCTATAAATATGTACAATCGTTAATAGCTCAGTTAAAAATAAAAAATACATTTAATTTTTAAAATTTAATGTACAAAAAAATCAGAATTATCCCCAAGATGTCCAAGAGAAGAAAAAAAATTATATAACAGCTTACATAGTACAAGAAAACATAGGAAGATATTGTAAATGTGCTGTGACCATTAATGGTAATTTTAAATCTCACAGACTTAAAACATGCCTAGAAGGTTACTAAAAGCACATTTCTGGGTGCTGTTCTTGTTGGCACTGTCTCTCCATTCTGCTCTCTGCTGTTACGAATTGAGCATTCTGGGTCTGCCACACTCTTCTGCTACAAAGTTTCTGCCCTACAGCCCGGTCATGGACTGAACACTCTGGAAACACGAGCCTAACTGAACCTCTGCTCTCTTAAACTGGCTGACAGATAGTTCGTCCCAGCAACAGAAAGCCAAGTAGCACACACACCTACTGGCTGCCAGGTGTCTGCACATGCTCTCACTATTTCTCTTTACTAATTACTCTTTTAGGTCAGAATCATCCTCAGTTTATGAAAACTAAATGGGAAGCCCGTAAGAGGCCAGTTAAGTTGCCTTTTATTGCCAAGTCAGTGCAAGAGCAGTGCTAAGATTTGCAACGAGATTTGCTGATTCCCTGCCCAGGTCTTTTCTACTGCATCCCAGACTTGATCCTAAATCTGTACTTGGGTTAGGTCAATAAATAGAAGGAAGTAATGTTAAATGTAAAAGGTAAATCAGAGGAGATATATTGTATTAAAGGTACTAATACTAATCATATGAGATTTTCATATATAAGGTACTGAAAATAGTAAGCAAAATGAAACTGATAAAACTAGAATTATAATAGTTAAAATTTGTTTTCTTATAAAATTTCCTAAGCTTATAATAAATAACATCAGTAAAATTTGCTTCTCCATATATGCCTATCCTAGATTAATTAGAACTAAGAAGAGGGAATAAAGACACAACAGCATATTAAAGGATTATAAGACTGGGCCAGATTAAGACAATCTCTTCTAAATCAGAATACAAGACAAGAATGAGTGCAGACTAGTTCCTAAGACTGCCTTTTTTTTTTTTTTTTTTAAGTATTAGGTTGTTACACGGTCTCACTATGCAGCTTGGACTCATGGTGATCCTCCTGCTTTCTGTCTCCCCAGCACTGGTATTACATGCATGCGCCACTATGCCTGGATTCTGTGGCCAGCTCAGCATGCTGGGGCAGAGTTGGCACAGCATGTGGTGCCAGGAATCCAACTGAGGTCCCTGTGCTTGCCTAAGCGAGCCTAAGCAGGCGCTTTAGTCCACTGAGCAGAAAGTGATTGATAAATGCAACTTACACATGGTCAGTTTCTTTAAGAAAAGTATTTATTTCTAATAGTCACAATTAAAATGTGTAAGTTCCTTAATTGGTTTCTCTTAAATCCACTGTTCTGAAGTCATAACCTCCCTAGGTTCTGTTTGTTTGAAAATCTCCTATTACCTTTTTTCTTCTTACATTGACTACAGCTGATAAAGTACCTTGATTCTCAAGAAGCTAGAAAAAATGTAATGATGAAAATATCACAATATAAGACATGTATTTTTTCCTTGCCAAAGAAAAAGAATCTAGGAAAATGCTTAGAATGACTATGATATTACAAAGTTTAAGTATGGTAATTTGACCCATAATTTATTCCAACCCTCCTAACAACTCCTCACAGACGAAGTCGGCTAAGATGCTGATCTCATTATTGGTCTCCAGCTATCGCCCCAAGGCTTACTAATGAGAACATCTACTGAGATTCTTTAATATACCAGTCACCCTAGTAGGAGCCTTGCACGTGTCAGTGCACTTAACTCTTCACAATGATCCGAAGGAGCTTTTGTGAGGACTGGTACTGCTACCGCGGCATCTAAGTGAGGAGGCTGCGGCACACAAGCTGAGTCACTCGCCCAAGAACTTCTCCTGGCCCGCTGGACGCTGGCTCCAGAGCCCGTCACAGCACGCTGTCCGCTCTGCGCGTGGCCCACTCAGTGGGTTCCACCGTGGGGAGCCAGAAATGCTTCCACAGATCCCCAACACACACTCACGTCTCTCATCATTTTCACCGCTTCCCTGGTCCTGCCCAGTCTTCTGGCACACATCGCTAGTCTTCTTTTAATGTAGACCAAGACGTTGGTGTCACGTCCTAAAGAAGGGAGAGAAAACACCAAAATTTTAAAAAATCGAGCACTTTTGCTGAGGGGCAAGAAAACCCTCAGAGCACAGAGAACGGTCTTTGGCTTTTCCTTGCTGCCGGAAGCACTGACAACGTTGGTAACAGCAGCATGAACACAGGGTGAAGCAATCTTATTTCGACTTCCAAAGGTCAGATCGTCGTATACCCAAAGACCCAATCCATGCTTTAGGACAGATGACAGAACTAACCCAAAAAAGGGGACACAGATGAATGACCATTTTGTATTTGTGTACTCAAAGTGGTTAGGACAGATATACAGCTACATTCTCTTAATGACTAGAGGGATCTGTTCTAATGGTGTTTGTAAATAGGATCTCATGTCCGCATCTTGTACAGCAATTAAGCATTAGGAAGAGAGTACGCAATGTGTTAATTATTGAAACTGTCCTACCAATTTGGTTTGAAACTGTCTCACTGCTATTTATTTCTCAATAAAATTATGGGAAAAAAACACAGTTGATAATAAATAAAATCTTGTGCTGCAAAATCCCGGGAAATAAATATACCCATATTGTATCCAGTTTATAAGCATGAAAATTCCACATTCTTCAGGTACATGTGCTTTCAGAAAGGATGCACGGAGGTGAATCTCAGGTTGCATTCTGATGAACCATTTTTTTTTTCCATTTTTGACATTAAGTCTGGAGAAGCCTCATTTTGAACTTCTGTTTTGTATTATTCTTTCTCTAACACTAGTGACATCATAATCATCTCCAGGTCCCCAAAGCAGCTGATTTTAGATGGAACCATAACACATTCCAGATATGACAATAGGGCATACAACAAAATGAAAAACTACTTTGGTGTCAGAGAAAGCACTGACAAGCTAAATAGTTATAACAATAGTCACTAAAATAGCTCTTAAAAAGTACATTAACAACTTCTTATCTTAATCTTTCATTTAATTATATGTCTTTTTGGATATGTTTCCAGATCTGTGAGAACATGCATATGCTTAATCCTCAATAAAATTACCATGTTTGAGAAAAATATGACACACCTGTTACAGATTAAGTATCATATAATATGTAGCTATTAAAAGATGTTAAGACCAAAGTTTGAACATTTCAAGTTTTAAACAATGAGAACAAGATGTGAGCTGAAAAACTGCCAAGTACCTACAAATTATTTTAAAGATGTGCTTATACTCTTTTGGTAGATGTAAGAAACAGGTTAAAAGGATTTAATTTAGAGAATAAAATAATGAAACTTTTTAAGTCATATTATAACTTACACAATTTTATGTATTAATTGTCCTTCACAAAATAGAATTTACCACCTATCTTCAAAGTGTAGTTATTGCGCTTTTACAAAAAGGAACAGAGTTATGACTAGACACCTCAATAGCATGTAAACTCACTGCAGAATACAAGTAACAACCTGCACACGGGCACGCCCATGTGCACACACACTGTGAGGTGAAGATCCTCCCGGCACCTACCGTAGACATTAATGCAGTCAATTCCCACACCAAATCTAAGTCGAATATTGAAATATGATTGAAAAATCTCAGGTATGAGGGAGGTTTTTCAGTCCCTAAAATCAAAGGCGGATTAAAGCGCCTGCAAGCAGGCCCGGCTGGGGTTCCATCCCTGGGCCTGCCTGCCTGCCGGCCCTGCCCCAGGGCACACCGAGCTGATATTGAGGCTGGGCGTGGTGGCGCACGCCTGTGATCCCAGCTCTCGGGGGCTGTAAACAGGCGGATCGCTATGAGTCCAATCTAGCAGTGAGACCCTGAGCACCCCATAGACCCTTCCCTAAAGTACTAAATAAATAAATAAATAAATAAAATGAAAGAGAACTGAAAGAAGGAAGAACAATTCTACCTTATGAAAACAACACACATTTTGGCTGAACCATAAAAGTGTTTTCTCTAGGACAACTGAGTCCTGCTAAAATAACCAACAAACACAAATCAAGGCCTCAGAGAATTCCAGAAATGATTTTGTCTTATTTTTATTCTTTTCTACCCTAGTATCACTGACTCTAGCTAGTGTACTAACTTGAAAAGCCTCAGATTTTAAATAGTTAAATAACTAAGAAAGCACTGTTTTAACATAAAAAATAATTAGGAACAAAAATTCTTCCTTTCTAGACACCAATTAGGAATGTTTCTTAAATAGGAGTTAAATGCTAATACAATCAGCAATAACTATTATATTTTTAACTGTAGTATTTCAACTCATGGATAGAAGACCCACAAGATCCGTTATTAACATGACTTAAGTCTTGTTTCTGGACTAACATTTAAAATTATGAATTGATGACCAGAAATACTTAAGAATACTGGGAAGAAGTTAGGATGCCATTAAAGATTACTGCCTTTTATTTTTGACACTGGGAGTCTATGGGAAGGAGAAGGTGGATGTAAACAGTAATGAAGTTTATACATCAGGTGTGTTTACAAATAAAAACTAAGAAAAGCTAAAGCCAATATTTATTCTCACCTAGGAGAATCAAATTTTGAACTGGACTTAAAATTTGCTGTGATCATTCATTTTACAGTTCTGATTCCCCAACACATCAAGCCAGAGGAAACCTTACTATGCTGGGCTTCATACTGGGATCCGTGATGCTGTAGCTGCTGAGAACGTCGGTAACACCCATCTCCAGCCTTCAGAGCCTGCTTAAACAGTTTTTCTGCTTCCGCAATGGTTGTTGCTTCCTCTTCAGCCAAGAGAATGTAAGCAGTTGCACACCTGTCCATTCAGATAACAGCCACTGTCAATTAAAAATCCAAGAGCATGGGGACAGAATGAAGGAGCTCATGCGGAAGGGCAAGGAGTTGCACCAAAACATGCAGAGTGGCCAGCTGTGCATGCATCCCTGTTTGTGGCTGTTGATACAAGAGAGTAGCACAAAAGAAATGTCTATATTTTAGCTTGGGAGGTGGGGTGTGTCGTGTCAGGGCCCTGGGCTCACATATGGACTCAGCCCTCATTAGTACATCACTGTGGATAAGATATTACGCGGCCTCCCAGAGCAGAACGCTACAGAATGTACTTGTTCACAGTCTGCTGTGAAACTGAGGTAAAGTGATGCGTGTGAAGTGCTCAGTGCAGAGCCCAGCAAGCGGCAGGAGCTCTCTAACCAGCCATGCCGGCAATGGTAACAGCTGCTCCTAAATGTCTCCTTCCACAGAGAGGTTCTAAATAGGTTTACTTTCATTTGTAAACACAAATTCTCTTCAATCTAAGGATTTCTTCAGAGTGAGAAATTTATTAAATCAAGTTATTCATTAAAAACAACTGCTTCAGCACCTCAAAACACCTGCTTTTCTGCTCTGAAGAACACGAGAAGAACCTACAGATTCTGATGTTTCTGAAGAGCTTCATATCTGACTCAGCCATACTAGCTAGGAAGAGTTAAATCTCATGACTTGGATTACAAACTACCACTTGTGGCTTAGTATATATTAAGCTCTGTACCAGGCACTTAACATATATCATCTTATATAATCCTTTCCTAACCTCTATTGGAAGCCAAAAAGGGAATGAAACTAACAAATGAACCAGGGCAACTCTGGAAAATTTAAGCCATCCAAATCATATCAAGAGTAATCCACTGCCAGTGAAAGGCACATTACAGGGATGTGGTGAGGCCCGAACTGACTGCACAGGCTCTGATCTGCACCCAGCCTTTACTTTCCTTCTTCTTCATTGCCTCTCTGGCCATTTCCCTACTTATCTCCATGTCACCACAAGAGAGAAAATACACAGAAAATAAAACCAAATGTTACTCTTCATAAACTACCATAGCCAGCTAGAACAAGGAGCCTCAACTTAACAGTAATGTTCAGGGTCACTGGTTAGTCCTGTCCTCAAGGAGGAGCCTTACAAGTTCTCTAGCCAATCCCTCTTAGGCAGGATCCATCAATGGGGTTTTAGACTGAATGTGGGAAAGTAGGAAAAAATGCCCAGAAAAAAAAAAAAAACCCTGGAAAACCAGTTACTATGAAGGGCAACATGTTATGACTTGTTAAAGAACAGTAATGATGCAGAAACTGTCTAGTGATTTGCTGGAGAAAATAACTTGGATAGGCATCGGAGGAAATATTTAACTTCAGATGCCTGCATATAAACACGGGTCAATGGTAATGAAATGAAAATTGAGATTATAATAGTAAGTGGCAGGTACGGTATCCGAGGAACCAGCTGCAAGATTGCAGCTGGTAGGCTGGGAACTCAAGAATGGTTGGTGAGGGACCGGGGAGATGGCTCAGTAGAATAAGCGCTTCTCTGGCAAGCACAAGGGTCTGAGTTCAATCCACGGTTCGGCAAAAAAAAAAGAAGAAAAAAAAAAAAAAAGGTTGGTGCTAGCTTGACTGCTTGCTTGCTTGCTTGCTTGCTTGCTTCCTTCCTTCCTTCCTTCCTTCCTTCCTTCCTTCCTTCCTTCCTTCCTTCCTTCTCCAATAGTATTCTTGTGAGGAGAGGCAGAGGAGCAGTATTGGCCAAGAAACAAACATCCATGTGGAAACTCATGAGTTTGGGGTAAAAACATGCTAAGAGTTTGTGAGTGAAGGAAAAAGAAGAGAGCAATAGAAGTGCTGAGGGTTGGGGGTACAGAACAGACTGCTCAGCTCGATGGAAGATACAGATGATGCATCCTGGCCACAACACAATACACATACAGAAGCAAGAAAATGGGATGATGGGGCTGTCAGACCATCCAGGTATCGGCTAGAAGGCTCACTTGGTGAGAAGTAGGGCACCCGATAGGTTCTTGACTTACTTTGGCAACAATTTTATCTCCCAGATGGTAGAGGAAGCAATTAGGGGAACTTCAACTCTGGACCTAATTCTGACCAAGAAGAAAAAAATAGTTGGTGAAATGAAATTGATAGGAACATTCAGAGAGACTCACTATGTCATTTTGAAGCTTAAGGTAATCAAAGAGGGGGAGGTGGACTTCATAATATTAAAAGAAAAGAGGTCTGATTCCATAGCATGAGACTCAGAAGGGAAAACGGCGTGAGAGCACAGAGCAGCTTCCAAATGCCCAACTGTAACTGCAGTTGCTTCTTGGGACGAGCAGAGGGGGGATCCAAGCAACCAAAAGGGCTCACAGAGATCACTCACTGGTCGGCTTTCTAAGGGACATGTGAAAAAAGATGGAAAGAGTGAATGTTGTGAAAGAATATAAGAAAGTGAAATGAGCTTATAAGAATATTGGAGAGCTAAAATACCAAATTACCTGAAACTTGGGAAGAAAAAAAAGATTCCCCTGAAAACAGACCTGCTAAAGATAACGACACCCTGTTTATAAGTTCTGTTTAAGGCCCTACACAGTCATTTCTCCAAAACCACCAAAAAAAGCAAACAACAAAACAAGGAAAGCGTATATGGTTAACAGCAGTAGATAACAGAAAACAAAGCTTTTTCACTCCTATCTTGTTCCTGAACTCTTATCAAGAAGAATGATCATCAGACTGAAAGGGGAAAGAAATTCCACTCTGAAATGGGTAAGATAAGACAGTAAACAAGGCATCATCCTAAATGAGCCACTGTGCTAAGATGGACAAACCCCAGAAAGCCAAAACGCCCCGCAGGCAGGCCATGGAACTAAGCTCTATGGATAGCTCAACTGCAAAGAATGAAAAGACACCAGAAGAAGAAAAGACAAATACAGTATACATTTTTAGAAAGGGGAAGGAGGCTGACTTCTAAAACTATAGAACAGTAATTCAGAAAGGTAGTCTAATTGATTAATAAAAAGGATGGTCTCCAAGCATGTTAAGAAGAAAATAATAACCAATGGCAGCCTGGTTTGACTCACTAAGAATACAGAAGTCAAGTTGTGCTAGTTTCATTTTCTTTGGTAGATTTATTGTAATTAAAGACCCACAGCTACAACTTGCATCCTTAAAACCAAAATGGAGAAACACAGACTGAATTCCAGTGTAACTCAGTAGCTCAGGACTTGGTGAGGTAACACCGAAGCATGGTGGCCTGTGAGGACAGGAGTCTGCACTGCAGTTTCTGTGTGTCACTCGCAGGGTTCTGTTTCTGGACTCGACCCTTTCCTTAGAAACGTGGATGATAACACAGAAGGCAGGATAGCAAATTTGCAGATGACAAGAAGGTGGAAAGTAAACATCTTGCATGAAAAATCAGAAACTGTATAGATCAACTCATTACAATGGCAGGATTTCCAACTCTCAAGTGAATTTCTTTTTTTAAGATCTCTTGAGAAGATTCTGTCACCATCCTCAGAAAAATCATAAAATACTTTAACAATGACCACTTGGCAAGGATTGTGTTGAGGTGATTCAAGCACCAGATGGGTGGCTGAGCTAAATGACCTTTAAGGTCTCTGCCAATCCTGATTTTTATGACTCTGACTGTAAAAATCTTTCTCATTTTCTGAGATCTCCAGAAGAGATTTCCCAGCTTTCCTTGGTAACCCGTAGAACGTTTAACAAAACTAAGGACAACATTTCCTGTTATCTTTGTCTTGATCTTAAATACTTTAAAAACATTTTTTACCTTGAGTCTTTATTATGCTTCCCTCACTAACACAAGTTTTCCCTAGAAAATGCAATAGTACATATGATCTTTCTACATCTGGAAAAATTTCCCAGTCAAAATGTTTTAGAGATATAAAGAATTATATTTCTTTTATGTCCTCACAATCTGCTATAGCTAGCCTTTAAAGCATTTCATTAAGATCACAGAAAAGCTGCTGAAGGCTGGGGAGATAGCTTGGTGGTTTAAGTGCTCGCCTGGCAAGTATAAGATCAGGGTTCAATCCCTAGTATCTCATGCCATGCTGGCCCCTGGAGCCCTGGGTGCACCACGCTGGTGGCACACACCTATAATTCTAGCACTGAGCAGGCTGAGACAGGAGGATCACTACGAGTCTGAGCTGTGTAGCAAGACCCTGTACCAAATAAATAAATACATTAATTAGTTAATTAATTAATTTTTAAAATATAAAAAAGACTGAATTGACTAAAACCATCATCATATAGCTGTCCATAAAATTTTATAAAATATAGCCTCTAAGTAAGCCCCCAGTTCAAACGTACAGCTCAATATAAGCATCCCATCAACAGCAACTGAATATACTCAGTGAAAGATGAGATTTCCTTTTTCATAGTAAGACCTGCCCTTCCCACACTTACTCATTTATCTCCAAGGCTTCGTGAGCTGCAGAAATCCTTGCTTGAGGGTTTCTCTCTCTCCAAGCTTTCTGCATTACTATATTGGAAAAAGGGAAAAAAGCAAGTTAATCAGTATATATGATTAGAAGCAACAATAAATTCATTAATAGCTGTCAGCTTGAATTACAGGGAATGATTTCAGGGGCAAGTACAAATCTCTCGAGCCACTTTTCCTCAGTTACAGGTATCAAACTTTTTGTAAACTTTTAAGACTACAGGTACAAAAAAGGCACTCCAGGAAAGATTTTATTTCTACTGCACCTTAACATCATTTGGTGCTAGAGAACGCATGTTATTTTACACAGTTTGAAATGACATTGTTATTAATTTCTTCATTTTACTTACAACACAGTTTCTACAGATCATTTTCCAGGTACATACTTGTTATGGATTCTGGATATGAGAATACTTTGAGATCATTTGAAGGATTATGAATCGTATCAGTAAACATGCTTTAGGTTTTTGTTTTACATATATACTTGTTTCTTAAATACATCTGCGGGTCAGAGCATTTTGTGAATATATTGGCAATAGTCCAATGGTTGACAATATTCAGTATCCTATGATGTTCTGCCATCATAGAAAAAGACATTTCCTTAATTTGCTTGAAGAACCTCACTGTACTTTATAAAAACATGTAGATTCCTTTAAAAAGATTTTCTTCACCTATTTACTTTAAGTTTTATAATATAAAATATTATATTATAATATAAATATTATATTCCAGTATAATTATCTGGAACTTAAGCATTATGAAATGTATGTTAACAAATTCTTCCTTAGGAGGAAAACACACAGACTCCAGCAGCCAATGCCATGGTCCCACCTAATGCTGGTGAGTCGTATCAGTCACTAAAATACAGTATTTTCATAATCAAGTGACTTGTATTCAGTGACTCCTACCTTCTAGTTAGAAAATCATCAAGGAAATAAGACTCTTCATTCCAACTATGAGCTTAATCAGCTTTATAGCAGACTTATATGTCTTCAAAACAGATCAATACAGCTTTGATATATTGTTTTAAATCATGCCCCATTTCTATATGGATACTTTACTATATATAATACTTAAATACTTCACTACTGAACTATCAGAATTCCTGGTTCTACTAGTCGATCAGCAAGTTAATATTTTGTTCACTGAGTTCAGTAAGGCAGATATTATGAAAGGACTAACCTTAATATTTAAGACAAGCTAAAAAACCCCTAAAACTCTCCCACCCAGCAGCTATTTGAAGGACTCTTCATACTTGCATCTGCAGGACGCAGATGGTCCGAGTCACAAGTAAAGAATGTCTGGTGGTCCTGGGCAGAGAGATTCATGTCATAGTAAGTCAGAGGCTCTCGTCCTGTCACCCAGGTATATCTGCAGAGCAAAAGGAAGATGGTCAGAATATTCTGAGACAGTAAAGTAAGACATACTAAATAATAAACTGCAGGTGAATTGAAATATGAACTAATTATGAGGACAGAAAACAAGTATCAACTAAGTTATAAATAAAAAAAGTTTTACTCATCTGGTTCTCCTTCAGGAATTACATAGCAGGAAAGAAATAAACATTTTTCCTAATGTTTTTGCATTAAAACTATACTAACCCCTAATGATGGAAAACCTTGTCTAAGTAGAACTATGATTGACATTTTCCAAAAGCTATGAAAATCTTAATTCACCTAGTTACGTCACTAAATTAAATTTCAATGTAACTTCTTTGGCAAATTTATAACCATGCTCCAGGTAAGCTTCAAAATGTTTTCATTGCATAACATATATACTAAAAAGTACGATTGTAACTGAAAAATTCTAAAAACTATACACTTCTGTACATTATCCAAAGTCTAATGCCATATTACTCATAAAAAAGAAAAATCACAGTATTTGAAGACAGTATTAAAAACCTAGAAGCACTAATCCTGTGACATGACCCCTACATGAACCAGCAAAAGTATTTGCTGCTTTCTGAACCAGACCCACTTGTTTGCCAAGCTATTAAAATGCTTACCGATTATATTCAGCACCTCTAAATAAATTTAGTGGATTTCTCCAGACTTTACATTCTGCAACGAGAGAAACATGGATACGGTACACATAAGTTCAGTGACGTCATAAGCTAATAGTTCAGCAAACCACTCTTCCAGGGCATTTGATAAGACAGTTCTAGTCTCTGTTCTTAACATAGGAAATAACAGAAAAACTTACTGGTTAGTCAGAAAATGTGGCTTAGGCACTAGGACTTTGAAACGTTTTGCCTGCTCTCTCCGGGCCCAAGTTTTCTCATCAAGATATATGCCAAAATCACCTTGTTCATAACTTTTGTATTTATTTCTAGCCTGAATAGAGTCTATCAATTTACTTGTAAAGTTATATGTAAAAGATACCAGTAGAAATAAAACTTCTTTCTATTATTCAAAAATATATCTTACAGTAACATCATACTTGACAAACTTAAGTGCTACAATACAGCAGACAGAGCTGTGGACTCCTAATTAAGGACTAAACTATTTCTGATTTTGTGATAATTCATTAGGTTATTCTTGGCTTCCTAAAGAGAAGCAACAAAAAATAAAATTATCACTATTATAGGTGGACATGCCATGAAAATAAATTATTTGAAAGCATTTTAACATCATTTCCTTCCTGTTAGATACTAGTCAATTAGGTTTCTTTGTTATACAAGGACCACAGAAACTTAGACACACAGAACTTTAACTTAGAAAAGCCATGCATTAAGATTGTTACTGCAAGTGTGTGACTAATACGCGAGAATTCTTTTAAAACACCCTATGATTAAGATTTTCTACTGATTCACAATACTAGATTTCCTTGGATGAATATGGTTTTATTAGAAAATAAAATCAGTTAACCATAGTCAAAACATCTATCTGTGTATACAACCAGCCAAAAACACACCCAACCACACACATACACACAGAATTATTGCAAAACTCAAGCACATTAAAGGCCATGTAATGATTCATTAGGGTTTTGCCCTGTCCTGCATATCTAACATCCTCCCTTCCACCCATCCACCCAGTCATCCATCCATCCATCCAGCCATCCATCCATCCATCCATCCATCCACCCACCCATCCACCCATCTACCCAATCATCCATCCATCCATCCATCCATCCATCCATCCATCCATCCATCCATCCATCCACCCA